TTTTACGACCGTGCAAATTAATCGCTGGTTTGCATATAAGCATTCTGTACCGCGAAACGCGCATAGGGCAAAATCCGTGCTTGTGAGTGGACATACCTTCCGATGATATAATTTTCTCTTAGCGAATGACGCTTAGGTGGCGTTCTTACGGTTTTTGTTTTCGTTGAATGACGCGCATAAGTGACACGGAAGCTGAAAATTATCGTTTGTTTTCTTTGAAACGAAAATATTTAGCTGCAGCGTTCTGCCTGTGTGCCTCTGCCTGTTCATAGAATCATAAAATTTATAAAAAAAATCTTTCAAATATGCTGTTAATATCAGAAGCAAATCTTAAGCTCTTAGTTTTTATAAATAGCTTTTCATGAAATTTAGTGCAAAAACCAGAACACGACAATCTCGGTTCAACTGCAAAGATAATTGTGTGCTAGTAAGTAAATTATTATTTTTGCAATTTTGTTGCATTCTGCTCCTTTTCACATTGCAGAAAATATTTCCTTTGCAAATATTATGTTATTTCCATGTTAATGTTCATGTCTTTCACATTTCTAATATTCTGTTGCCTTAAATGAAAGAAACAAGTGCATTCATTATTGTCACTGAATTTAATACACGTGTATAAGAAAATAAACTTCCTTTTCTGACAAACACTATTTTTATGCAAAGGTATAAAAAATGTTACATATTAAAAAATGTGCAATATCCATGAAATAATATTATTCAATTTAAAATTTACGTCGGTGGTAGGGCTAAGAGCCAACTCGTGTTAATTATTCTCTGATTCGGCTGATTATTGAACTTAGACCTGAAAGCTTGGTTTTAATTTTATATTTGTATTTTGAGTTGAATCCAAAAGCATTGGCTGAGTTTGCAAGCACCAGGATTGCCCTCTCTAAATTCCTTCTTGTGTTATTCCTTCTTGTGTGTTTGATCTTTTCATCCATTGGTACAGAATGAATTTAGCGAATAGCCACTTCACAGTTCAAATACAGATCTAGCTAGCAGAGTAAAGTTAATTTGGCTAAGATCTTACATATTAACTTACATCAAAGCATTTATATAAAAAGTGGAAGACGTTACGGAGTAAATAAAATAAACAGAAAGGAGCAACTTCATCGCCGCTCTTTAAATACATTGACTACACAAAGTATTTAAATCTTAGAATCGTGTACGAATACGAATAAAGATTATCGCAGAAATTATTATGATGATAATTTACACTTAATTAAGTGATGCATGTTGAAGTAAATACAGCAAAGCAAAAACGTATTATTTACTTATTCTCTTGAGAATGTTGGGCCTATATTTACAATAATGAATCCCTGAATTACTAACTTTATCGTCAGTCTTTTCGTTGACGAAAGACTGAAACTCTCTTTCTCCTTTAGCTTCTCGTGCCTTCACATTCTGGACTAGGAAGAACATGCGATGCATTGCGAAATCATGCAAAATCGCAGGTTTTGCATCTAAAAAAAATACATGCAAAATCTGCGATGCATTGCGATACTGCTAAGACCAGTCACATTAATTTTAGAAGAGCATTTAATATGAATTCAAACTTTATGCAATGAAATTACCCTGCAAGTATTAATGTTAAATAACATTGAATGTTAGGATTTAAAATCGCTTTTTCGAACCGGCAGATGCTGTAATATAATTACTAGTCGCAATTGTGTGAATTTGAACTATCAAATCCATGCTAATGAAAAGAAAATCACGTGATTGCTTGTCTGACGAATATATAAGATTTAAAACTATTGTTGCATTAACAGAAAAACGAAAGGAGTAGGATTGTAAAATACTGAAATCAGAGGAGCAGAAGACAGAATGAAACTAATGAAATTGAAGGACAAGCCGTAAAAATTAAGGACTTCTGAGCTTTTCCTAAATACAGCCTTTCTCAGATACAGATAATATCTTACAGTAGAGAAAGAAATGCATCTTTTTATGCGGCTGATATTTTGATCCAATAGAGTAGCATGTTCCTCCTAGTCCAGAATGTGAAGGCACGAGAAGCTAAAGGAGAAAGAGAGTTTCAGTCAACGAAAAGACTGACGATAAAGTTAGTAATTCAGGGATTCATTATTATAAATATAGGCCCAACATTCTCAAGAGAATAGTATAAATATTTTTTTGCTTTGCCTGTATTTACTTCAACATGCATCAATTAATAAGTGTAAATTATATCATAATAATTTCTGCGATAATCTTTATTCGTATTCGTACACATTCTAAGATTTTAAATGCTTTGTGTAGTCAAGTATTTTCAAGACGGCGACGTCCGAGATTTAGCTTCTTTATTTTATTTACTCCGTAACGTCTTCCACTTTTTATATAAATGCTTTGATGTTCTCTTTGTCTTTGGTGCAAATGCACAACTTTTATTTCGTATCCGATAGAAAATGCTGAGAAGTCATAGCATTTTCTGTAGCATACAGGGATTCGTACTTGGTATAAATCGTTTAATAATGACGCAAACTTGACAATATTCATAAAAATACAGTATAAAAACGCAGTATTTATGTTAATTTAAACAGCACGTTTGTTTTCGGAATCTTAACCCATTAGCCGCTGGTGTTGCATTGACGCAACGGTCAAAATAAATGCGTATATAAATATAACTACCTAAGATATTTTATACCAGAAATGATTTGTGTAGGGAATATTATGAAGATTATTCTGTAAAAAAGTATGTGCCATCAACAATCATTTTGTTATAATAAATTAATCTCATACTTTAGCAAAATTTAAGCAAAAAATTTCGACCGGTGATTTTTGATAAAAAGTATTTAAACGAAAGAATCGCCGTCTTTGTGAGTTACCTATTTTAGTCAAGGTCACGTTTATATGAACATTACATCAGTCAGAAGTTTTTTGTGTGTTGGGAAGGATGAAAAAAAAACAGGTGTGACGTGACGCAACGCAGCAGGGGAAACGGTAGTCAGTCTCCTTTTTCACTCATTCTTTTGACGTTCTGGTTCATATTCTGGTTGTTCAATTTAGAAGAAGCCTTTTAGAAGAAGCCTTTCAAGAGATTTTTTGATGAAGAAAAAAACAGATGATGATAATGTTTAATAATGACCAGAAAAATGGAAATGATATTGTTGTTGTTCCCCGAAATTGCAAAATCTAGTGACGAAAGAAGAAGTAATGGCAATGTTTTAAAAATAATGATAATAATATTTTAACCCCAATGATACTGCTGGGGAAGTTGAAATTCACATAAGAAGTAAGTTTCAGCCTTCTAAAAGCAAGTATAGTCATACTAAAAAGTTTAAAAAGCAGAAGACGAAGACGAAATCTTGAAGGGACAAAAAAGAACTGTTAGTTATGTCTCAGAAAGTCATGAAGAAAGAGACTAGAAGAGAAATTATAAAAGACACATAAAAGGTAAACTAGTACACAGATTTTGATTTTCGTTTTGGTTTAGACATTTACTGTCTTCTCATTGAACAGACACAAATATATACGCTCAGCGAGAAAAAAAAGCGCCCAGAATTTATTGCATCTGAAGCCTATATGAGAGGATTATTGGAATATTATTGCTTACAAGATATTCATTCTTTACCTCAAGAAAAAAATGTATTGGTCCTCTTAGATAAGGACATTTCTGTTCTATTGTACGAGAAATTGATATCACGTTGCAGTACAGGAATAGAAGCAGAATTGCATTTGACAATATTCAATTGACACACTTGATAAATTATATGTGTGAGACCGTATCTAAACTTACTAAATATCACCACTTTTTACTACTGGAAATATAAGGTCTCTTTTAGATTTCAGACGCGAGAATGCATTATTCCTTTTGCAAACTCCTATTGAGAGTGAAACTCCTATTGAAACTCCTATCAGCCAGAAATAGATGAGCAACAGGAAGACATTTTATCGTTAAGTCCGTTGATAACAAAAGATTTTGTTGTAAAGAGTACCATAGCCAGACTGTTTATAGATGCAAAGTATGTAATGTAGCTTTACATCATGATTGTAATGAAGCTTTTCATGCTTGAATCTTTCAGTTGAAATAATCTGTATTTGTAAAAGAAATACAATGTATATTTTAATATAAAATTAATTACAAGTAAAGTGATTTGTAGATTTATAAACCTTATACAGCTAAAAAATAATCCTGCGCTACTTAAAAAGAAACATCACACGAGTGCAATCCTACTCACTAAACATCCGTAGTCTTATTCCGTGACGTTGCGCGAACGCAACACTCGCGTTTTCCACAGGTAAGAGCATTTTTTTTTATTTTCAATGTAAAAATTATGTTTAAAATGCTTAATTTAATATTTGTTATTATTTTCATGAGAAAAGAAACATTACTTGTAGTTTCGGCGGTTAATGGGTTAAATGTATAAATCATTAATTTTAATAGAATTACCAGTCCAGAATAACTTTTATAATGTGTTATGGATTGCATTGGGGTTAACTTTAAGTTGTTATTACGTTTATTTATTATGTAATTTAAAACTTCTTTTAGAGATAATAACATTTTATAATCTTATTTTGTAAACTGAATTCATGTGAATATATTTGGGACACTAGTTAAAAATTATAAGCATGATTTCTTACATCACTGCATAAAACAATAAAACTTACATTTAAGACATAAGTCTTTTTAATTTGAATTTGAATTAGATACTCAGGATGTGAAATTGATGAAGTCCTCAGGACATCTGAGAATCAACATCTTCAGGACATCCTCTCATATCCCGAGACATAGCGACTTAAATAATAATCCTCCAGGATGTTCAATTACGATGTCCTAGGACATCTGAGAAGAATCAACATAGTCCAGGACATCCTAAGTATGTCCAGGGTTGCGACTTAAAAATTAGGAAATCTGAGATGCCGGGAGAGATCCTGAGACTATATTTTGCACAGGAAAATAGACAGAAATTTTACTTACTTTTAGTAAATATGTATTGAAATAATATAATATTAAAAAAAAATATCTTTTTGTATATCATAAAAGTTATAAAATTAATTTTGCATACCACATGGACCTCTAGATCCAACCACGACATACTGTTGTTTGTTGCATGCAGCTACTCGCATTTCACATTCATTCAAATACGTAATGCCATCTGTACCACACACGGATGATTCAACCTATAAAAATAATGATATAAATAAGTTATACAAAATCTAAATAAAGTTATTAAATTGTAAGTATTGTTCTGTTTCCACATCGGCAGCTAAATGTATAAACACCGATGGAGAAACAGATACTGGTGAAACCGTAACTAAATAAATACCAAGCAAACTGAAAATAAGACCTCTTAAAAGTTAGTTAACTTCAATATTTTTCGTGATCGTACAAGTGAAATTATTTGCTTTGCGCTGTGTAAATGCATCTGGGACCGCGCCGTGAGAGGATCCGATAAACAAGAGGTAAATACAAAATACAAAAAGAAAACACATAAATAGATATAAAGAAAACATAAGAAATAGGTTTCCAGATTAAAATACAAGTTTATTCAAATTCCTCAACAATAAAAATTAAATTTTACATCCTACGTAATCGATACTCAATTTTTTTTTATTTCAGTTACACATGCGAACTATTCAATTTATATCATTTACACAATTAAATCAAGGATTTCTACTTTATGACCCATTTAATGAAACTTGAACTACTGCTGTAATTTCTAGGATGTTAAAAAAACATTATCTAAAATTCAACATTTATTCTAAGGGTGATTTCACAAAACAAACTATATTTTTATACCATAATTAAACTTATTAAGATTGTCATTTATGTCTCAGAAAAGAAAGAATGGGAAATGGAGACAACTCCCAGCCACTTAGAATTAATTTAGAGATTCATTTTAAATGTAAAGTCCCAATACCCAACATTTCATAGGAGAAATTGATAACAAAACAAAATTTATCTGTTATGTAGACGACTTGAAGCACACCCGGAAATGTCTCTGCCAGGCCTTGCATTCTAGGAGAAATACAATCCGTAAGAGGAACACTGACGACCAATGAGTCTCACGCTTTCAGGAACACGGACCGAAATATTGAAGAACGATTCCTGCATCATTTTCCAGTAACACATCCGCACGCTGAACATCGAAGAAAAATTGCCACTGGAAAAGGCATCAAAGAAGTGCCTTCAAAATTCGTTGACCGGCTGTCGAGGATAGAATCTCACATTGGCGTGGGGAACTTGGCCGATAAAGGTTAGAAATTTAACAAACGTTGGTGCAAATTTTCTTATTTTTAAGATACTTAAGAAAGTCCTCAATTATTCGGGATGTAAAATCATAGTTCCATTTTCTTTTTCGTTTTATGTCGAAGACACCCGGGAGCATCATGGCAGCTCCCAGCTTTGTAACTCACGGCAAGAAAGGCAACATCAGGAACACTATCCGAACAAAACGTCGCGCAAATTATAACCAACTACTCACCTGAGGACGAAGACCAAAGTTTTTTTTTTTTTGATATATCATAAAAGCTCGCCCACTCTTCAATTTCGCCTTTTTGCCAAAACGCGACCGGGGAGCATATTTGCCGCTTCCCGCCGGAAACACATCTCACGACGAAATTACATCTCCTCCTTTCTACCGCTCAACCCAAGAGCAAGTTCGAAATTCAAGTCTTAGTCAAAAAGTCAGTCCAAAACGTGATTCAAACTCGAATTTTTTTCACAAATACGGGTTCCCACAATAGCTTCATTTATCACAACCTTGATTTCGACAAAATTTGCGTTTCTTCCCCCGAATGTCAGAACTAGGGTGATCACACATACGCGCCCCCTTCACTTAGCGAACGACCTGACCGCGATCGCCAATACCAGATGACTTACAAGTGGCAATCTCTGACCCCTCTGTCACGTACTTCCTGTCCTAAAGGTCAATTACATAAAAGAAATTTCTTCTAGAACATTCTAAACGACGAAACAACCCGCGAAATCATGACTTAGCAAAATCACCTCCCTTCCCTGCTTCTTTTGACAATGAATCAAGGCAACATGTAAAATTTGACTTCAATTTTCCGTTAACATCAAGAGGAAGGCTCAGTGCATTTCGCCGAATAATATGATATTGAGAAAATCTATCCTCATTTCTGAAGAATTACAGCGATATTTTACTTTCGAAATTAAACCCAAACATATGTCAAATTTTGCCAGTTAAGCATGTGAAGTTAAGCATGATCTGACGTTTGAAGACCTCAGTTGCTGGAACCCTTTGATCTATTTATTCAGTTTTACGCTGCAACATCACATTTTCCATAGCTGCTGGTATTCAAAAAGGTATTGGACTTCTGACAGATTTCAATGCTTCAGTAAATCAAGCAAGCTTACAATCTCCTATTCCTCCCGAAGGACATTCTTTATCTCTACCCATATGATACAAAACTTGCAAAAGAATCGTACCAGTGCTTTTTTTACATCGGTGAACTGGATAAAATGGATCTCAATTACCAGAACTACTACCATTGCTACTGTTTGTAGAGTATAAGGCCTTCATAAAGAAGTACCAAAATTATGTCCTTCTTTTCGTATTTAATTCTTTTCTATTTCCCTTTATGCAATCAGCATTAATTTACTTATCTTCTGTGGACAGTTTCTCATATAATTTTATTTATTTTTCCTAATTAATATTATTCATTATATGGGGAGGTGATGAGCTAGATCTACGTATTTCGTAAGATGAACTCTTTTCAACTTAATTAGCTGCTTGCTTACTTGCTAAATCTTCTGTCATAATGGTTACTAATCAAAACCCATATGTATTACGAATTAAGATCTGATGCAAGAACTGTGGACGGAGCTAAATTTAAAACTTTTATTGGACCAATCATTTTCTGGTGATTCGGAAACCATGCATTCTGAGTTACCTCAAGCATCTGCGCTAAGAGTACACACGATTTTGCTAGCTTTATAAGAAAAATATAAATGGACAACACCAACAAAAATGATAAAATAATCTAACATTTCGGTTTAATGCTAACATTATGTTACTTATTTCCATTACTTATGACATGGGCCACTTCAAATCTGCCAGGAATTTGTACACAGCAATGTGCATTCATCTTTACCTGTTAACGTAATATAATTTACAGATGGTAGATATCGAAATATCTTTACATTTTTCTAATCACCTTTTCCTTTATGATGTATTTATTATTTTAGGATCATTTAAAATGTCGCGCAGGTTTGTTATGTAGAAGAATTATCTGATAGCATTATAAAAACTATGTGAATGATTTTATGATTTATGGAAATTTAAACTTTATTTTGATTATGAATTATTTATTTTAAGGCTTTAATTTTGGGGAAAAACAGATGCTTCTGGAAATATTATTTAGTTTAAATGAATATTATTTATTTTCTTTTATTTGCAAATCTTGTACAAACTTTTATTCATTGTGAAAGAAGCAGGGAAAGGGAGGCAATTTTTGCCAAGTCATGATTTCGCGCGCTTTGTCCTTTAGAATGTTCGAGAAGAATTTTCATTGTTAGTTGACCTTAAGAGAGGAAAGTACGTGACAGAAAGGTCAAAGGTTGCTACTTGTCTTTCAATGTAAGTCATTCAGGTTTTGGCGATTGAGGGTCCGGTTGTTGGCTAAGTGAAGAAGGGCGCGCATGCGCGATCACCCTTATTTCCGCATTCTGGAGTTGAAAACGAAGATTTTGCCATAATTAAGGGGGCGATAAGTGAAGCCATAGTGGGAGCCCGTTTTGTGAAGGAGACGAAGGAAATTCGAGTTGGATTCACACTTTTTGACTCACTCACTTTTGGACTCGCACACTTACTTTTTGGCTCACTCTCGGACTGACTCGCTGATTTTCGGGCTTGCTGGACTTACGGGCTTGCTGGACAAAATGTAATTACGAAGTGAGATGTTTTCCGGCGGGGAAGTGGCAAATATGCTCCCCGGCCGCGTTTGGTTAAGAGGCGAGACTCACTCTTGGACTCGCTGATTTTCGGGCCGGCTGGACTAGTGAACGTTGCTCTTGAAAACTGGCTTGAAGGAAATTCGAGTTGGATTCTCTCTCTCACTGACTGGCGGGTGGAACTTACTTGGGACGTTACTCGTGAAGCTTGCTCTTGGGATGAGTAAGAACAGGCGAGCCGTAATTGCCTGGAAAAAACGTTTCTGACCTGAAGCTGAAAACCCACTTCCTTGCGGCGTGCTGGTAAAGAGGCGAAATTTGAACGAGTTACCTGCGTGTTGACATAGGACTTTCAGGACCAAGCGGATAGCCGTCCTGGGCAGCAGTGCTCCTGTTTCTGTTCTACACTGGTGAAGTACATTTTTAGAACCAGTGTCAAGATGAGCCCGGCCGACATCAACGCTTGATAAGATAAGAGTCCTCCACTTCAAGATGTCCCCTCAAGATAAGTTTTATTTTTTTTGGTGTGTTTGAACTTTAAGCAAGTTTTTCAAAAACGTCCTTAGCAGTAAAAACCACGTCGAATCTACAGTTTAACTCTCAGGCCTTAAATTGTTTCCCTTTCCTTTCTTTTAAATTACCAGACAAACCTTAAGTTTTTTTATGAATTTAAATGAAAAGACTCTCAGATGAGGTTAAGATTTTTCATATTGTGATGTAATTGAATAAACTGATTATTTAATCTGGAAAACTATTACAGTATGTTTTCTTTATATATTTAATATGTTTTTTCCTATATTTCTTGTATATGTTTTTGTCATGTTTCGATCCTCTCACGGCGCCAAATTGTTAAATTGGGAAGTTTCGACACCAAGGTTAAATAGCTTTACTTCAAGGTACCAAGGTTATATAGATTACCGTGAGAATTCAATCCAACCAAAAAATTACTTATCTGGTAAAGACATCTTGACCAATGTTATATCTTAAATTCATATTATGTTAAATGTTAAATATGAAACTACTTGCCGTGAAAGGTAGTGATCGTATAGTGAAACGTGTACAGCATTTTTGCGTTGTGAAAAAAAATGCATCCCGGGACCGCGCCGTGAGAGGATCGAAAACATAAACATATACAAGATATAAAGGAAAAGTTCATATTAAATATATAAAGAAAACATACTGTAATAGTTTTCCAGATTAAATAATTAGTTTATTCAATTACATCACAATATGAAAAATCTTAACCTCATCTGAGAGTCTTTTC